ATCACCATCAGCAACAATATCCTCATACTCCTCCTCATCATCACCACCACCGCCACCATCACCATCACCATCACCCCGCTCTTGCTTCTCCTTCTCCTCCCGATGATGCTGCTAAGACGCCGGCGTATACGACCGCGCTGCTGACGGAGCCGCCCTCCAGGAACTGCCCCGTGAGGGCCTCGTCCAGCGTGATCTGGGCACTCTTTGGGGGGGGGGCTGCCGGGAAGAAGTGGGAAGAGAGGACAGGGAGGAGCAGGGTGATGATAGTGGGGAGGAGCAGCAGACGGCAGCAGGGAGGAAAAGGAGCGGGAGAAGGAGCAGGAGGAGGAGGAGGAGGAGGAGGAGGAGGTTCACTGCCCACAGATGGAAGGGTTCAGGGGGAGAGACCAGAAACACGGGGTGGAGGTGCCCTGACTGGGTTTCAGTCCCAGGCCAGGGCTCGCCGACAAGTCCCCCCCTTGGAGAAACAAAAGTCCGCCTCTTGCCATGGCTGGCTCGGACACCCATTCCCCGTGCACTGTTGTGCATCTTGCTTTTTCATTCTGCGCAAAATTAATCCGAGGTGCTACTCACTGGCCCTCGCCGAGAATGGTCCTCGCGGAGACCCCCCCTAGAAACAGAAGTCCGCTTCTGGGTCCCCAGACATCCGGCCGCTCCAATTTTTTCGATGTGTTCGTCCCAAGACGTCTGGACCACTTCCCTAGGCCAGCTCTTCGCCCTGAGTCCCTTTTCGACAGCCCCGAGGCCCGGCGAGGGCCCCCGGAGGCCGAAAACGGCCCAAAACCCGCCTCTCCGATTTTTGTCGGGGCGTCGGATCTCTGGGCCTGGGCTGGCACAGCCCCGCCGGGCCCTGGGGCTCCCCTGGGGGGGCCTCCCGCTACGGGGGGGGCCCGAGGCCGCCACAGCCTCCGGTGCGGCCCCCCGACAGAGGGCAGACCGCCTCTGCTCCGGTCGGGCAGGCAGAGGGAGGTCCGTCCGACGAGAGCGGGCGCCGACGCGCGCCGCGGGCGGGGCGACACCCCCTCGGGCTCGTTCCACTCCGGCGTGCCCACGCCGGAGGAGCAGGAGGGAGAGGAGGAGGTGGAGGAGGAGGAGGGAAAGGAGGAGGAGGAGGAGGCGGAGGCTGAGGAGGCGGAGGAGGAGGAGGCGGAGGCGGAGGGGGAGGAGGAGGAGGAGGAGGAGGAGGAGGAGGAGGAAGGAGGGGAGGAAGAGAAGGAGGAGGAGGGGGAGTAGGAAGAGGAGGAGGGAGGAGGGGAGTAGGAGGAGGAGGAGGAGGAGGAAAAGAGGAAAAGATGAAAAGAGGAAATGAGGAAATGAGTAAAGGAGGAAGAGGACGAGGACGAGGAGGAGGAGGAGGAAAGAAGGAAAAAGGAGGAGGAGGAGCACGGGGAGTCTCATACTGGAAAAGACGTGGCAAGAAAATAAGGAGCGCGAGAACGGGAAATGGAAGACGTGAGGGGAGGTGGCGAGAAAGAGGAGGAGGAGGCGGAGGCGGAGGAGGGAGGAGGAGGAGGAGGAGGAGGAGGAGGAGGAGGAGGAGGAGACCAGCGTACCCAGAGGTCAGCTCCCCGCGCCTAGCACGGCGCCTGAGGCAGCATGGGCACGCCTCCTGTCGAAGCTGTTGTAGCTGAGGCCGCCGACGCTGCAGCACATGATGTGCAGCGGATAGCCGTCGAATTTATATCATTCTTATTCAGAGGATGCTGAGTGCAGGGGGGAGCGAGAACGCAAGATGGGACCGAGGCGAGACGCAGAGAACAGTGAGGACAGTGCCGAGAGCGTGCAGGTGAATCACGAACACGCCTCGAAAAAGAAAGGGACGAGAGAGAGACCCTCATCCAACAAGGGGCACTCTCCGCGCCGTGCGCGGGGCCGGGGAGCAACGGTGCGAGGGTCACTAACGGCGCACCGCCGGGCAGTCCCCACTCGCACCGCGCCGAGGCGAGACGCAGAGAACAGAAAAGGAAAATGGGCAACAGGAGCCTTTTCCGACGGCACTCACACACATGGGGCAATCTGAGGGTGCCCCCAACTCCTGTACCAGGACTCGTACCAATAGAAGAAGATAGTGTAGCACTGCATGACCATGACGACGAAATTCTCGTCAGAGGCGAAATCGAAGAGGAGGGTCCCGCCATCAGCGACGGACAGGGCGCAAACGAAGAGGCAGCAGCCGTCGAACACGGCCAGGTCGGGGAAAACGAGCACGGGGTAGTAGCGAAGAGAGAGGCGATCCGTGTCCAAAACGGAGAAGCTCGTGACGACGGCGTAACTCTCCTAGACGGCGCAACTCTCGAGGATGGCGCGCAGCTCTCGAAGACGGCGCAACTCTCGTTGACGGAGACACTCTCGAAGACGGCGCAACTCTCGAAGACGGCGCAACTCACCATGACGGGGCAACACTCGACGTCGGCGCAATTCACGAAGAAGGCGCAATTCTCGATGTCTGAGCCCTTATTTCCATCAGAGGCGGTCGACCTCCGCACAAGAGACGAGATCTCGCAACTTACTCCAGAGCCCTTATTTAGAACAGAGGCGGTCGACCTCCGAACTCGAGACACAAGCTCGCAACTTACTCCAGAGCCCTTATTTAAAACAGAGGCGGTCGACCTCCGAACTCGAGACGCAAGCTCACAACTTACTCCAGAGCCGTTATTTCCATCAAAGGCGGTCGACCTCCGCGTTCTAACGCCGGTGGCCGCAGGGCTCGAGGAGCACCCTGCGACCGAGACCTGGAGGAGGAAAGAGGCAGGGTCAACGTCACCATCACCATCGGCGGCATCGCCATCATCGGGATCCACTGCTGAGACGAGTGAGGCAAAGTAGTGCACCGACCCGTTGGCAGCAACGATGGGCAGGGACTCGTCTCCATTGCTGTCCACAAGGAAGTCACGAATACGGTGTGGTGCAGCGGGTCCCAAGTATTGCCTCATCTCTCTGCGAATCTCACGAAGGGCTTGGAAATGTCGATCCACCATCTCTTCCCAGAGCCCGTGCCGCGTCAAGGAGTTACGCGGGTCATTCAGCCACCGAAAGTAATCTACAGTATTGAGGCGCCCCTCGGTAGAGGTGCCCCAGGCAACCATGCAGATATGACGAGCGAGTTCGTCGAGAGCACCACTCCAACCAGACGAATCCACCCATTCCATCGCCTCAAATTTGGCACGTACGTATGGGATGCACCACATCAACCAGTCGGCACGGCCGCTCTCGGAGTCATCCAAGCGCAAGATCCAGCGTGTAGCCCTTGGTGCAATACGTTCGCCGAAGACAACAGGTGTTGCATGCTCCACAGAGGAAGAATGTGGATGGCCCGCCAGACACAGGATGTGAGTACTCGGTGACGGCGTCGACTTCGACGAGGTGGCATCGTCCAGACACCGCAACTGTTCAGGGAGAGCAGGGTCCTCACGAACAGGAAGCCCACCAGCACGAAGGCGTTCGACACGCTTGATGGTCGCACGATATTCACGTTCAAGCCGAGTAACATCCGCCGCACATGCAGCTGGGACAGACATCGACGCTGCATGGACCGCGGAGAGCACCACCGTGGCGGCAAGCGGCCATGGGAACATGGATGCCGCAGGTCGCGGCGAGGTGGCTGCGGAAGCGGACGCCCGCCCGTTGACGCCCTGCCTTGAGGGCAGGGCCTCGCACTGAGCCAAAGCGCCAGCAGGCATGGACACAGGAGACACTGGATGGGGAACAGGTTGGCCAGCTTCATCAGCGCTATGTATCACATCGTCGCCACACGGGGTGGGAGGGACCAGGTCAGGGATGGGGGCCGCAGCATCTGAACTCAAACAGGAGGTGGACGATGAGGTGAGCACATCCCACTGAGGCTGCCTTCGGCGGATCGTCTGGACAGCGGGAGGAGGTTCCCACCGTTTCAACTTGGCTGAAGGCCTGGCCAGACGAGAGGTGCGGACGGCGGCCTCAACATAACCACGCAACTGACGGGGAGTCGACACTAGAGCACCTTGCCGAGCATAGTTGAAAACCTGGTAATAGACATAGAGAGCTTCGAAGTGGTCAGGGTGGGGGTGGGTAAGGCCAAGACGCTGAGCCAGGGGGCGAGGCAGGGCACGCTGTAGACCTTTGCAGACTGCCAGGTACAATTTAGGGCAGCGTAGATAATGTTGCAGCCGATCAGGGCCAGGGCATCCGAAACGACAGCGAAGTTTGCCCCTCGGGTGGATAATCCTATGTGATGTCAGCCATCCATGCCCCCAAGTCCGTAAGGCTGCCATCGCCCAGCTTTGCGGAACCAATGCCAAAAGCTCCTGAATAGCGGGCCAGTGGATCAGGTTGAGGAAGGGGAGGTAAGCTGTGAATAACGGGGTTAAGTGGCGAATCAGCATGGCATGTAGAGGTTTGTGCGTACACATGTTCTGACCCAACGAGCGGGCAGCAGCACGTTGCAGCTTGGGCCTTCGTGTCGTGACCTGAGCTTCCTCACGCATGGCAGAGCGAGCGGCGACGAGTAGGGGCTCTTGAGACCTCACGTGGACCAGCTCAAGGTGTTCGACGAACGCAGGGGATTTCCAGAAAGATGGGTAAACACGGGAGCGATCCACAGCAGCCAAGGGGATATCATCAAACTTCCCTTCCACAACCTCTCTGTGCCAAAGAGAAGCCGTTTGTCGCAGTAGCCGTAAGTATTCCTCAAAGCCCTGGAAGGTGTGAAAAGCAGCACGTAGGTGAGCTGCAGTAGCATGGGCAGCCCACGATGGAATCTGAGGACCACCCCAGGCCGGGAGCTCCAGGATCGATTCGTTCGAAAAGAGGCCAAGGGGAGCACGGAGAACTTGGGCGATGGCACCACGCTCAATGGGAAGGAACCATTCGGGCATAGGGAGGAATTGGGCTACATACGCCAAACAGGGGTAGACCCGCGTGCGGTACAAGATACAATTCGTACAGACTGACGCAACCCCACGTCCCAACATCCGAGAGCGAGATCGTGCCTTCATAAGCGGGCCCCTCCAGTTCATGTCGACCGTCGCATCAGGGCCCAAGATCATCCCAAGATAAAGCAACCACCCCTCAACAGCAAAGCCTGACCAGTCACTCGCGATAGAGGCCAGCTGGGTCTGGGTCATGGTTTTCAGGGTTTCTGTCATGCGGCCGACGAGAGGGACCAGGGTGCACTTGCTGATCTTAATCTTGAGGCCCGCAATCTTTTCCATGACACCGAGGACCCGCACCAGGATGCGCAGAGAGGCTAGCTCATATAGGACAGCACCTAGATCATCGGCACAAGCACGGCATATCCCCAACTGACGTTGCTCAATACTCCGCTCGGGGTCGGCCAACATGGGGGAGGAGGCGAGAGCGTACAAAGATCCCGAGAGACCACAGCCTTGGATGATGCCCGAGCGGATCCAGAAGATGGTCGAGTAGCATCCCCCATCCAGGACCACACCTTCAACAGCCAAATACATCCAGCCCACAAAAGCGAGAATCTCGGCGGGGAGCCCAAGAGAGCCCAATAGCTGTAGCAGGAAGGACTGCGACAAGCTCGGGAAGGCCTGCCCGTAGTCGAACCCGACGAGGACAGGGGAACGACGCACAGCTAGGGGATGTTGCGAAGCAAGCCGAGCATGGACATCCAGCTCGAGCACGTTGTAGCAGAAATTTCGTCCTCTAATGAAGCCTCTCTGGGAAGCAGGTGCAACGGCTTGGGCGACAGGCTCGAGGACCCTGTTCATGACCGAGCTCAGGATCTTAACGTCGGTGTTACGCAGCCCCAGGACCCGTATCTTATCGGGAGACCGAGAACAAACCCCAGACGGCAGATCTGAGTCATCAGCACCTTTGGGGAGGAACGCCTGGAGGGTGACGCTGGCAGAGGCAAACAACGACTGACCTTGGCATAGCCATCCGAACATTCTGGCCAGGTGCTGGGCGCCGTAGTCGCACGCCGACCAGGCCGCATAAGGCAGCCCGTCGACACCAGGAGCAGAGTGACGAGCACGCCTGAGAACCTTACGAAACATTGGGGTCAGAGGACAGTGCAGGTCGATGTCAGAGGCCTTGGTGAGGAACCTATCGAGGTACATCTGGGTCATGACAGGGTGGGGCTCTTTCTTGGAGAAGACAGGGGTCCAGTAGGCCGCCAGGGCCGCAGTGCGTTCCCGAACCTCTGAGATGGGGCCCTCAGGAGTATTGACCGCGGACAGTATCAGGCGCTTCGAAAACGGGGCCCATATGGAGGCCTTCCTTTCCATAGCTCGCAAGAGCGTGGCCGAATGAGGCCGCCAGGCAGATGAGGAGCCTGAAGGAGCACGATCAGCAGCAGCAGCAGCAAGCTCTTTTTCGAAGACCAGCCGATGTACTCCAGCGGCCCACTGCTCGAAGGACGGGGCGTGGCGCAGCGAGACGACCTGGCCGTCGACCGTCAGGGCGTCGGCGGCGTGCTGGGAGGTCTCGATGAGCTTGAGGGCAAGGGCAGCGTCTTGACGCCATACCGCTCGTGCTATCCCACGAGCAACCAGCTGAAGCGTCCCAGGCAGGTCAGGGGCCGAGAAGAAGAGGGTGTCGCGGGCCTCCCTGGCGGCCTCCTTCATCATGTACTTGTAGTGCTCTGTAGCCACCGGTGGGCTCCATCGGAGCAGATCCTCATCACCATCAGCAACCATTCCTCGGAGTCGGCGCTGGAAAGCAACAGAGGTGAAGATGTGCTTGGGGATGGGCCGCTCAGCAGCGGGACGCACACCCCGAAGACGCAGCCGAATCGAGAGAGCAGCATGATCCGAGATGCCCATGGAGCACAGGTGCTCAGGCGTGTCCACGGTGTTAACCTCAGTCATGAGCTGACACATCATCCAGCCTGTGGCAGAGCAGAAGAAGCGGTCGATGATGTTGATGGAATTGGTGAACTTGCAGAAATGGGTCGCCGCTTCCGAGTTAATCTCCATCATCTTGCCAAGTGTAGCCGCCCAGATTGGAGCATGTACTTTATGATCTTGAGTCAACTGGCGCTGTGCTCCAGTAGGTCGGTGAAAGATGAGAGAAGAATCGCAACTGTAGTTGAGATCCCCCAAGACAACCACAAAGTACGAGAGTGGGTCATCAGCAGCGCGACGCAGAGCACAATCGATCTGCTCACAGACAGATTGTACCTCCCCCTTGGTCAAGCCGTGATTGTGAACGTTGAAGATCACCAGCTGTGTCTGCCCAAGTGCTACATCAACACGAAGCACCCTGCCTCTGATCAGAGGCACCGCACAGCTACTGACCGAAGTAGATGAGAAAGGAGGAAGAATGACTGCAACTCCCCCAGAGCCGCGGACAACCTCGCCGTCGTCATCTTCACAAAAGCTACTGTGGACAATGGCCGTGGAAGAAAGCCTGGCCACAAAGTCGTTCAGCTCAAATCGATCTGCATGCACTTCTTGGAGAGCCAAGATGGATCGCCCAGGTTGAAGTTTGCTTAGGTAAGATAGCTTAGGCGAGGCTTTCGCCCCACCAAATTGGAGAAGAGCGCGTGCATTCCAAGTCGTGAATGTGAGGCTGGCTGTGATCTCTCCGCCGACCTGCCCCACTGGAAGCACAAACATATCAGTGATGGCGTCAAAGACACCACTGGGTGGCCGACGGCGCGGCGGTGATGTTCCGAATGGCCTCCTGGAGGTCACGACGGCCCAGGCCGAGGGCGCGGATCCCCACGTCGTTCCAAGAGAGCTCAGGGGGTTCATCGCCTGGCCGGGGGACAAGCCGCAGGATGTCGGTGTAGTCAGACTTGAGAACACTCCGCTCCCGATCAACAAACCACTTTCTCTGACTGTCGAGCTCCATGAGGGAAGAACGGACCTTACGAAGGAGCATCTCACCACGAACCTGTTTCGGCGACTTGTCAGGACCAAAGTGAAGACGGGCTGGGTCCGCACCTTGAGCTGGGCACTGGAAGACCCGCCATGCTCCGTCCGACTTGAGGTTAGCGAGGGCCTTTTGCACGCGTCGGGAAGCCAGGCCGATCGGCCCAGAGAAGCACACGGCAAACTTTTTGGCGGGGAGCGGCGTGAGGGCTTTGATCGTGTACGTGTCGTCCTCAGAGAAGTTGAGCTCGCCCATGAAGGAGTTGACCACCTCACGGACGCCAGCCAGACCGACGAGCTTGGACGAGACCACAATGACCTGCGTCGGGTCGATCTCGCGGTCGAAACCAGGTGGGGCAGGGGGACGCGACGGAAGTTGTCGGTCCAGCTCACTCTGGCGGCGTAGCTCCTCGACCTGCTTCTGCAGCTCAGCCAGCTTGGCAGCCTGGGCCTCGATGTCCCGCTCAGTGTAGTCGACACGACGGGATAGGGCGTCATGCTGCTCCTGAAACTGGCGCTGCATGGTATCAAACTGCGGACGCACCGATGCCATGACCTGCTGATCAATGGAGGTGTGCTGCGAGGAAAGCTGCTTCTGAAGAGTGGCGAGCGTGGCAACGATGGGAGCGTTTGACTGCTGTACAGAATTGGTGATGGCCGTAGTAACGATATTGTCGAACTCATTGCGCAGCTGCATGAACCTCGCGGAGATGTCGGCATGGTAGAAGGCCCGAGTGAAGGCAGCATGCTCCTCCTCTTCGCCACAATCAGCAGCACCACCAGCAGCAGCCTGAGCCCGCGGGGTGGCGCCCGCACCCGCCGCCGCGGCCCAGGGGTCGAAAAGCCTAGCGGCAGGGCCCTGCGGGGTGGCGTTCGGGTCGGGCCGCGCCTCCTGCGACGGGAAGGTAGCGGCCATCTCGAGCTTTGCAGCCACCTGTGCACGCTTGGAATCGTCCCATTCGTCCAAGGGAATAGCTTGAGCACCGCGAGATGCTCCCAAAGCCGCAGGGTCGGGGCCCCGATGCGAGGCTGCAACACCAGGAGACATAGGGACGTCCCCGCCAGCACCACGAGCGCGGCCAGCACGGCGAGCACGGCGAGAGGGCTCAGGAGCAGGGCCAGCATTGCCGTGGGAGGGAGGCCGAGCGCGAGCTGCACGACGAGCACCACGGCTGCCACCGCTCCGAGAGGCAGAGCGGCGGGGTTCCTCAGAGGAATCACGGCCACCAGAGGAAGCAATCTCCGTATCAATATCTTCACCCCCATCGAGACGATGCACGACATGGTGTGGGCGGTCGCAGGCGGCAGGGCCCATGGCGGCTCAGCTCGCGTCGTTGTAGCCAAAACTGGGAGCGTGCTGTGGCGCACGGCAGGAAGGAGAGAGGCGTCCTGGCCTCGGAAGGTTCGGGCCTCCCTGTCGCCTGCGACAAGGCTGAAGCCCCAGGGCAGGTTTCAACCTTGAGCCAAAATGGCTACGGAGGAGGAGGAGGAGGAGGAGGAGGCGGAGCAGAAGGAGGAGAAGCGGGAGGTTGAACGGGGAAGGGAAGAATGGAGAGGAGTCGAGGAGTGCAGGCATCCGAAGGAGGAGGAGTAACAAGAGGAGAACGAGTAGGCAGCACGGGAGAACGGTGATAAATAATAATGCAGATGAGAACTGGGCCTGAGATGCCGATGTATCCTGAGTCAACCAAACGTACTGACGAAATCACATCTGCAACCTTGAGACCGAGGGGCCGCAGCAGGGGAATAAAGACAAGGACAAAGAGGAAGAGTACGATAAGAAACATGACAATGCTGATGCTGATGATGATGATGCCGATAATGATGCTGATGTTTATGACGATGATGCTGATGATGCTGATGATGATGATGATGATGATGATGATGATGATGATGATGATGATGATGATGAAGCTGATGCTGCTGCTGCTGAGGAGGAGGAGGAGGAGGAGGAGGAGGAGGAGCAAGGGGAGCGGAATGATGGCAATGGATAATCTAATTGACGAAGCGTGAGCGCGGACCGCACTCAGCTGGGAGGAGGGATGGAGGGGGAAGGGGAGCAGGCGAAGCAGGAGATGGAGGAGGAGCAGCAGCACTAGCAGGAAGCTTCAGCGCACCTGCCCCTCATCCTCGTGTTGCTCCTTGCCATTGCCCTCCGCCATCCCTCCCGATCCCCACCCCCTGAGATCACGACCGGAATCCCAAACACCACGTTTCTGTGTCGTTGTTCGAGCCATATCCATCCGTGAGGGTCCTGGGACCGAACCCTGGCGAAAGCGGCCGGTGTGAAAAGATGGCCGCGCCAGAAACTCAGGGTCCCCCGTTCTCCTCGCCTCCGCGATCCCCGTGTGCTCTGCCATTGGGCACCATCGGGGCCTTGGCTGGCCACTTGTCCCAGCCCAGCAGAGCGGGGTTGGGCTGCTTCCCCTTCAGCCTCGCGAGGGTCCTGCCTGCGAACTCGTACACGGGCACAGGGTCTTCCTGCCAGAGGGGCGCGCGCCGAAAGGACACAGGAGGAGGAGGAGGAGGAGGAGGAGGAGGAGGAGGAGGAGGAGGAGGAGGAGGAGGAGGAGGACCCCCCCCCGCGTCCTCCCCCACCCACCTCCTCTCGCTGCCAACAACAAAAAAACGACGGAGCGTTTCTGGCAAATGCCGTCCTCGGGAGGCCCTCGCCGGCCCCCAGAGGCTGTCAAACAACGACTCGGGACGAAAAGCCGTTCCGGGAAGGGGTCCAGACCTCCAGTGTGGCAACGCCTTGAACAACTCAGGACGTCGGAGTTCTGGCTCCTCTCAGGTCCTCCCCCATTCCAATTCTTCCTCGGAAGTGCGTCTCGGGCGCGAATTCACGGGGGGGCGATACATGGGGGGGAAGAAAGATGCCCTTTTCGGGCCCTGGGCCCTAAAGGGCCCCTTCAGGGGCCCCAGAGGGCTCCTTTTCGGCAGCACTCGCCGCCCCCTAGCATTTGTCGCCGCCTAAACGTCTTCGCAAGCTGTCACGACATGTTTTTGTTCAGCGTTTCTGGCTGAAGGCCGGCGCCTCCCTCAGGCTTCCAGGGCAGAGGGGGGTGGGAGGGGTGAAATCCTCTACCCGCTGTTCCTCCTGTCCCCCCCTCCGCCCTATCCTTACCCATGTGGCCCTCACTGCTCCACCTGCTGGTGCTCCTCCTCCTCCTCCTCCTCCTCCTCCTCCTCCTCCTACTCCTCCTGCTCCTCCTACTCTTTCCTTCTCTCCGTCTGGAGGGCAGAAAGGGAAAAGAGAAACTCCCAAGAACACGGCCGCTTCGACTGCTGCCCTGTGCGTGGCGTAAACGTAAACTAGAAGAGTCGAAGAGGTTAGAGGATTGTCGCAATTACATGCACCTGATGTTCAAGCTCTCGCGGGGGGGCCTTCTTGGGCTCTCTTGGAGCGCTTTGGGATCTTTTGGACGCTTCCAGGGTACCTCTTGAGGCCCTCTTGGAGTCATCTTGGCACCATGCTGGGCCAAGTGTGGGGCCCTCACGCGCCATATCAAGGCAGGGAGCCTCTGAGGCAACAGGAGGCTCGCGTGAAGCCCAAGGGCGCAAGCGCCTGAGCCATCTGGGGCCATCCGCCACCTTGGAGCCATCTTCGGACCCGCCTGGAGCCCCTAATGTTGAGGTCATCCCGGAGCCCGAAAACCAAAGCCCCTCCTGAGCCACACCCGACTGCAGCAGGAAGCTGGAAACGCACATGGCTGCAGTCAAGCGTGGCCGATCCCACAAGTTGTGCCACCTCCTGGACCACGGAGCACGGAGAACGCCCGCACATGGGCACCGTCTGGGGCGCTGTGGGTGCGGCGTCGGAGCGCCAGACACAAACGCCCGGTCAGAAGGCGCGCTCGATCGTATTCCGAATCTCCTCTGCGGCAAATCATCTACCTTTCACGTTCATAAATCGATTCTCCGTATGAGTCGTCACATGGCGCCTCACGTCGTCTATCCATCTGGTTTTCGAGCGGCCTGGCCTCCTTTTGCCTCCCGCTCTTGCAACTAATCCATGCTTCCGCTGGCTTTTCCGCCGGCGGAGCCGCCCTACTTCTTCAGCGGTGAGCGAGGGGGGAAGGTGAGAAGGGGCGATCCTTCTCCGAAGGCTCGGAAGTCCCCGGCCTTCTGAAAAGTCTCCTGAGCCTTCCCCCCGAAGACACGGGCAAAAACTTCTCGGAAGTCGCGCGAGGGCTTCTGAGAAAAGTCCCGCCGCCTGCTGAAGAAGACCTTCTCTAAGGTCTAAGGAGACCGAACTCTAATATACCGACGCTTTTTCTTGCCCCGCACTGAAACTCCCTCAGGAAAGCGGATCCTGTTGTATACGGGATCCTGGTGTACACATGTTTCGCTATTCCCCGGGGAGCGGATAGAAAGAGTATACGCCACACCACCCCGACGTCGTCCCCGACCCTGAAAAAGTCCTGGGATTGAAAACAGCCCGCCGCTGGTAATGTGAGGGGCAACGATAGGGGGGGATAGGCATAGGGGGGTGAACATCGACCTGGAATCGGCGATGTATCGCCGATAGATCGGCGATAGGCACCCGATGGTGAGTCCGCACGGTCCTGGGCAGGTTGGGGCTATCGGGCCCCATATCGGCGATCAATGGGCGATTGGGGGTCGATGCATCCCCCCCTGTGCCTGTCCCCCCCGCCTCTGGGTGACCATGATAATGTGCATGTTCCAGTTTCCGATCATCCTTCTCACCTCCCCGCTCGCTCGCCGCCGATCCTTCCACTTCCGCCGCCTCTCTCGCTGACCCTCCGCCGCCCTCCGCGGAGGACGCGATGCAGTCGAGCCTAAGCCAGAAAAAACATCCCTCAAGAAAATGAGGCCCTCCGCCGGCCAAGACACATAGAACATCCCAGGGTACCCTCCCCAGGATGCACAGCAGCACCAAACAAGCACCAGGAGCACGAGGGCATCAGCTCGAGCCTTTGTCAGCGGAGGAGATCCGGAAAGCAGCTCACGCCACGCGACCCAAGATGGGCATGGGGGTGGGACCCGAGAGGGGCATGGAGGTTGACGGCGGGCCTGTGGCCGCAGGAGCTCCGCAAGGCCGAGCCGCTTCACCGCGGCCTTTCACTTTCCCCAGCGACTACTACGTCGGAGGAGGAGGAGGAGGAGGAGGAGGAGGAGGAGGAGGAGGCGGAAGAAAAAGAAGAAGACTCGGCCTTGCGCGTGGTCTGTGCCGATCCCTGACCGCGCGTGAACCCGTGCAATCAGAGCCCTACCTCGAACGATCATCGAGCGAGTGCGATGAGGTCGTGAGTAGCGCGCGCCGTGCAGCCTGTCGTACGTGCTCGTACCCAGGCAGTCGCAAATCGTGAGACCCCTCGAGGGCTGGGGGGGACACCCCACTGGCCTCCCAGTGCCGAGCCCACGTCGCTGCGGGCGACGGGCAGGCCTCCGAGGCACCCGCCCCGCCCCGAGGAGGGACCCACACTCCAGCAAAGCGACGGACGAAAGGGGAACGACGCGGAAGAGAGGACGACGAGGCGAGAGGGCGAGGCCAAAGCAGGAGAAGAGCAGAGGAAGCAGCGGAGGGGAGTGTGGGTCCCCGAATTCTGGAAGATAGCCACTCCGAGGAAGACAGTGAGGACAGTGCCGAGAGCGTGCAGGTGAATCACGAACACGCCTCGAAAAGGAAAGGGACGAGAGAGAGACCCTCATCCAACAAGGGGCACTCTCCGCGCCGTGCGCGGGGCCGGGGAGCAACGGTGCGAGGGTCACTAACGGCGCACCGCCGGGCAGTCCCCACTCGCACCGCGCCCCCCGCTCGGCGCAGCCTAGAGGGGCGGGGCCTCGGACATCGAGGTCACGTGGCAGGCAGGTACTCGGTGGTGGCCAGCGCGGGCGTGCACACAAAGCCGTGGGGACGAACATGGCGGAGACCCGCGTGAAGTTCGACAGGTGGTGTCGGGCCCGATCCCGTAAGGACAAAGCCGCGAATACACCACATAACATCATCAAAGAAAGAAAAAGAGGCGTGGCGACGAGCGGAATCGCGAGGCATCGCGACCGTCTGAATATTAATTGACCCATCCGTCTAGGTCGTCAGCATCAGGTACGTGGATTCGAGGAGGACGTATGGAACAGCACGTCAGCGTATGTAATGTCATGTATCTGTAGAAGAGTGGGTATCCATCCGAGCCAACTGTAAGCCGTCAAGTAAGACGAGGGGTTCCGTCTCATAGACTTGAAGCACGAGTCGGCGGGAGTCCAAAAAACCTCAAATCCTCCGGTACACAACGCTCCTTCGGAAAGATAGTTCGTGAACT